TTGCCTTTGTGGGCAATTTCACAACAATTTTGCCTTTGTTTTGTTCCTCTTTTCTGTTTCCTCTGTGGATCTGCAGTGTGATGGCTGTTGCCTGGTAGGGTGCCTCTGGGATAGGTGACCTGGAAACGACAACCAGCAGCAGGCCTGAGACAGGGCGGTACTTGGTTTGTTCTAAGATGGACGAACAGGTGTGAGATTCTAAGTTGTATTCAATATACCTTTAGTAGTGTAAGTGGAGTTTCAAGTTTGATATCTTTTGATTGTATTTGGTGTTTGTTATGTTTCAAATATGACCTCCATAGAATAGGTTCATGTATTTGGACACCTTGTCCTCATTACTGTTTTTGGAGGTTGCAGAACCTTTAAAGGGGGCGTAGATGGAAGAAGTGAGTGGCTTGGGAGTAGGAAATGAGCCTTGAGGCCTGTGCCTGGATGTAGTCAAGCAACTTCACACTCTTTCCAGTCAAAAACGACTACTGCCTTCCCCCGTTGTGATGCACTGCACCCCTCAAACTATCAGTCACAATGAGTGTTTCCTACCTTACTATGCTGTGTCAGGTGTTTGCTCACCACAGCGAGTTACTAACATGGTGATTATCTTCTAAGTGTTCCTATTGATTGTCCCGGGTTGAGCCTAGCTAGCTACTATAGAGCCAATGTTCCCTCCCCTTGAGCCTTGCTTTTTCTTGGCCAGGACCACCCGTCCCTGCCAGTAACCAAGAGCTTGGTCTTGAGCTTGAACTCCATGAAGTTACTTGGCTCTCTGTCCTAAAGAAATTGACTGGTATCTTCTAAATAGAGATCACATTTGGCAGCCTACCTAGAGCCTCGCATGTGTTTTTCATTTCTTCACTTTGAGTAGGTCATACTTGTAAGTAGAAGAGTTGTTTCGGTGGGTTAAATTCTTATCTGTCTCAGGTACTGGTAATAAACCACCTAGAGAGTGACCGTGTGCGATATTTTAGGTAATAAACTACCTAGCGGTGTATAGAATGACCTTCCTTGTGCAATACTTTAAGTTGTTCCCCAGCTTTCTTCTGACTTCGTTTTTCTGTTGACAATGTAGAGTTTATGTTTGATTGAGCTGGTAAAATGGCTCACCAGTAGCACATGCCTACCCTTGAAGGCTTGAGTTTGAGCCCCAGAACACACACTTTCACAGTGTTACCATACTTGAGTTGCCCTTGAAAAATAAAACAGTGTTGTAGTGTAGATATTCCTATTTCAAAAGTTGGAGTACTTCTAACAAAAAGTTCCAGAATTCAGAGGAGTCATGCTGCAGGAAAATGAAGGAAGGGGAGAACAGTCAGGGCAAGGACGACCTTCCTGCCCAAGTTGGCCCAGAGAAAACAGCAGAGCTCTGCGGGCAGAGGCAGGCTGGAAATTACCTACCTGCAGCCAGACCTCAGTGCCCATTTCCCTGTATCTCCCACTAACAGAGGGTGAGTTAGAACAAGACCTGGATTGTTAGCTAACCCCCCGCCTTTGACCAGAGTGTTTGTGCCAGGCAGAGTAAACACACTCTGAGCCCTTGTCAAGTGTAAGTTAAACGCATGCTCCCCTCCAGTAGCCTGGAAAACAGTCCAAAAGCCAGGTCCTCTGCTGTGTTTCTTAGCCAAGTGTGGGCAGTCACTACTTAGTCAGCAGTTAGCATGGGTGGGGCTCTGGGTGAGTGAAGAAAGCATGGCACCCATCCACCTGCATTCGTAGCTCTTCTCCTGCTGGCCTAGACTAGGCCTCCTTTCCTGGAGCCTCCATAGCAGCTGCAGAGGAACATGTCTTACTCTGCTTCAGAAAGTGATTGGGTTTAACATGGCAGCACAGTCCATTTCAGAAAGACTGCAGGAACTCCCTGCTTGTGGGAAATCTGCAGGTGAGATGAGGAACCTCTGCTTCTGATTAGGGATTAGGAGGCCTGTTGAATTCCCTGATACACTAGCAAAGGCACGGGGCTAGTGGCCTGCAAGCTCCCTTCCCTTTCTTGTGCCTATTAGTTTTTTGTTTGTTTTGTTTTTTGTTTTTCGAGACAGGGTTTCTCTGTAGCTTTGGTGCCTGTCCTGGAACTAGCTCTTGTAGACCAATCTGGCGTCAAACTCCCAGAGATCCGCCTGCCTCTGCCTCCCGAGTGCTGGGATTAAAGGTGTGTGCCTTTTGTTTTTTAAATAGGGTGGTTATAGTCTATGATGGCCTTGAATTTGTAGTCTTTCTTTAGGAGCCAGAGCTCTGGAGTTATAGGTGTGTACCACTCTCCCTGACTCACTGGTGGTTTTCTGTATCAACTGTTTATTAATGTGCACACAAAGTGGTTTTCACAGTAGCTACCACTGTGGAATCACCTGGGTCAAGTTGAAGAGTGTCCCTGTGCGAGCCGCTCCCCACCTTGCTGAGATGGATCTCATTTCAGGCTCAGCTGTCTGAACATGCCTGCCTGGGTACCGGGCACCTGCCTGACTCGCCCACCTCCTAGGATCTGGAGCGCTTAGCTCTCTTTTGTTTGGCCTCTGGTGGGTGTTGACCAGCAGTGATGCCAGAGACTAGCAAAAACTGAGTGAGATGCCTGTAGGTTTACACCTAGACTGCCCACACTTGTGTGGCCTGGACCATGAACCAGAGAGTGGAACTGAAGCATTGAAGCCTGGAATCTGGCCAAGACCAGCAGTCTCAAAGTGGCCACCCTGTTGATTTAGGTTGAGCTGCAGGTGGCGCCAGTGGGTTATTGGCACTTTCCGAGGTCTGGAGCTGCCTGCTCAGCCTGTTGACAGGAGTCTGGCTGCTGAACCACCTGCTGGAACAGCAGGAGCCAGCATGTTTCCATTCCATTGTACCTGGCCTGTATGCACAAGGCTCCTTCCAGGGTCAGTGTTTGGCAATTTTTCCAGTCACTTTCATACTCAGAATAGGCAAAGTAAAGAGAAGACTGTCTGTACTGTTGGTCACTGTACTTTGAAGATGGTATATAACTGCCTTAAGTTTTAAAAATTATACCCACACGAGTAGGGGGAGCATGTGTACCACAACATGCATGTAGAGGTCCCGATTTGGTTCTGTCCTTCTACCACATGGGTCCCAGGGATCAAACTCTGGTCATGAGGTTTGGTGTCAGGGACCTTTCTTTACCTTTACTTGCTGAGTCTTTAACACAGCATGAAAAACATTTTTGTTTTGACAAAAGCATTAAAAATTTACAGAATGGTTGCCAATGCCATATTTGTGTAGGCCATTGTGACATCGAGGCCATAAAGGTTTGTTTTCCCAGACCCACAAGTGTCTGGAGCTTTGAACACACCAGCAGGTCAAAGGCAACCCGTGCTACAAGTGTGAGGACAGTGTTTGGCGGTCTCCTTTCCGGGGAAGTGGTAAAGTTAGTGAGGCTTGCTGCAGCAGGAAGGTCTTGTCTTTACTATAAAGAACAAGCAACCAAATGAGAGCATCAAAGCATCTGCAGGATGTGTCCAGCCCTCCCTGGCACGATGCCCAGGACCTCAGTGCCTGCTCCTGCTCACAGGCCAGGGCCAGGTTTAAAGTTCACAACATCTTGTTTTTTCACCTGTTTCCTACAGTTCTAAGAGGCTTGTTGATAATTAATGAGTAACTATAACAGGTACCCATCCTTTTCTCCAAGATAAATAGGGTTACTGTGGGTGTATTTGTGTGTGCCCCAGGCCACTGGACAGTGGTGTTGGCATTTAGTAAAGTTGGTAAAGACAAAGGCTGTGGTTAACATTGTTGGGTTGTGATCACTGTGCCTGCCTTTTGTGAACTTGGTGCAGCCGACTTTGACCCAGGTGGTGGGTAATAGAAGTGAGTGAAGACACCATTTATAATTGCTGTGCTGCAATCTGTAGCACAGGAGTTCCTGGTTCTGGAAAGACTCCCACAGCAGTGCTAGACACAGCGGACACTTGTTCCTAGCACAGCCTTCACTTGACAACTGGCAAATTGCTGGTGGCTCGATTTGTCACGTGAAGAAACCGAAGCGCTGACATCCAGAGTGCACTAGCACTTCTTTGTGTCACTAAATGTTGATACAAACAGCATGGATGTTTTATTGAAGGTTCTTCTTATGCTAGAGGGTGACTTTAAGCCTTAGTTCTTGTCTCATTTGGCTCACTGCTGCGTGTTTTGTGTGTGGACTGAAATGTGCAATAGTGATGATGTGGACCACCTTAATAAAGTCCAAATCCTGCCTTTGACACTCTTACCTCTAGGCAGCTAGTGAAAAACAGCAGTCAGGACAACAGTTATGCAAAGGCCTTAGAATCATTTCAATTCTGCTTCAGTGATGAAATATGAAACTCGATGGATTGTTCTACAGGAAAGCAAACTGCTGAGTGACAGCATTTCAGACAGCGCCTGGCCAGATGGACATTTCTCTGGTGTTTTTGGTTTTTAAATGTTTTTGGTTTTTAAATATTAATAATGTTAACTAGCCTGGTTTTGCTGAGCTAACGCATTTGGAGACACTGAGCCTACTCTTCCTTTGGGCTGACTTCTGGACAGACATACTATTCCAGGTTCTAACAAAGTTTGAGACAAAGGTTCAGCTTTGGGCTCAATTCTCAGTCCTGACACTGCAGGCCTACACACTTGGTCCTTCCTATATCTGTGACGTCATCCACAGAGACACTGCATACATGTACGCAGTTCAGGTCTGGGAGTTGGGCTTACTTCGTAGGACACATCTGTGAGAACGGAGACAGCAGCATATGGCACAGACCCTGCTTCCCTCAGAGTTTGCAAAGAGGAAGGCAGTCCTTCCTCAGACATGAAGCCTTACCCATCCCCCGGCCAATGTCATGTGTCTACCTAGCCCCTCTTGTGCATCTAGCTGCTCTTTGGGTCTTTAATTTATTCACTTTGACAAATAACCTCTTGGTCATACAACAGTTCACTCTCAACTTGCTTCTCTGATTCAAAGTGAACATGAGTGCCTTAATCCTCTAATGGGAATTAATTGCTTGTTTCAGTGCTTAACTCTGATCCTTTCCCAATCCCCACAGGGACAAGTTGCTTCCTGAAGGATCTGTGTGTATTGTTCAAAACATAATCAGAAAAGGTAATGTTTTTCTCATGAAAGAAGCCAGAAATGCAGAACATTCATTTTGTACTCTATGGTCGCATTCTCAAGCTGATTTTATATTAGAAAGGATTCATTTACCAAATGCTTGTGAGAAAAGCTGGCCTCTCTTGCATAGTGTTTTGTTTTGTTTTTACAGATATAAGCTATTTTCTTTAGAAGGAAATTGCAGAGTTTCCGCAGTTTAAAGTAGAAAACCACTGTCCATATCATGATTCCATGGTATAGTGTCCCCTTCCTGAGACTGCTTCTTGGTTCGGAAACCACTACTTGATAAGGCTTGAATCCCTCTCCCACCAAAAACATTTACCATAACTCTCTCAGGAGCTTGGTTGAGAACCCTACAGTAGTTAGCCTTTGTAGGAAAGAGGAACTAGGGAAATGAGAGAGTAAGACCAGGGGGGATTCTTACAACTGGCAGTTAGTGGTCAATAACTCATTTGGGAAACACTATGAACCCTGTTTTTTTTTTAAAGGATCATAATATATTTTTTTATTAAATTTTTTTAAATTAAAAATTTCCGCCACCTCCCTTTTCCCTCCCCCTTCCCCCACTCCCTCTCCAGTCCAAAGAGCAGTCAGGGTTCCCTGCTCTGTGGGCAGTCCAAGGTCCTCCCGCCTCCATCCAGGTCTAGGAAAGTGAGCATCCAAACCAGCTAGGTCCCATAAAGCCAGTACCTGCAGTAGGGTCAAAACCCATTGCCATTGTCCTTGGCTTCTCAGCAGCCCTCACTGTCCACCATATTCAGTGAGTCCGGTTTTATCCCATGCATTTTCAGTCCCAGTCCAGCTGGCCTTGGTGATCTCCTAATAGATCAGTCCCACTGTCTTGACTTCCTTGCTCATGTTCTCCCTCCTTCTGTTCCTCATTTGGACCTTGGGAGCTCAGTTCATTGCTCCAATGAACCCCAGTTTTTTTAAAAAGGAGAAAATAGAAGCTCAGAGACTTAAAATAATTTTCTCAAATCTACAGTTGCTGCATGCAGGTTGTAACTGGCTCTGTCTCTTGAACTGCCCCATCGTGGGTGTCCTGGCTGATGCTCCCTGGGGAGCCTAGGTCACATTGTGTCTGATGCAGCAGAGCTCTTGTCCTGGAGTGTTGTGTTTCTGGCCGACTTGGGGCTGTCTACTTACCATTCACCAAGACAGCCATCCTTATTAAACAAAGTTCCACCCCTTATTACTTATTAAACTAAGTTCTTGTACTTTTACACAGGACTGACTTAATCCAATATCATGGAAAGAACTAGCATTGCACAGTGTCTGGGAGGGGCAGTTTGAAGACATTAGGCGTGACTCAGAAAGCAGCACCCTTTTCACTGTGGCCATCCCTAGGGGCCAGAAGCATCAGCGCAGAGCACTCCTGTCCCTGCTAGGGACTGTACATTTTTCTTTTTGCTTTTTATTCTTTTTCTTTTGAGAACTCTGTTCAGATCCCAGTCCCATTTTTTGAATTGGTCATTTTTGATTCCTTTACATATTAATTCTCTATTAGATATGTAGGTGGCAAAGATTCTCTCCCATTCTGTGGGCTTCCTCTGTTTATTGTTTCTTTAGCTGTGCAGAAGTTTTTAGTTTTGAAAAGTCCCACTTGTCAGTTGTTGGGCAAATTCCCTACACCTCCATCCTGTAAGGCACTGCCTGCGTTTCTTTGAGCAGCTTCACTCTTTCCCGCTCTTTCCACTTTCATATTTGGGTCCTCGATCCGTGCGGGGTTAGTGTTCATGCAGGGTTACATCTGTGTGGATGTTAGTTTTCTCAAGTCTAAGTTGTCATATTTGTCAAATAGTAAATGGCTGAAGTTACATATACTCACTTTTAGGTTTTCAGTTTTGTCCCATTGGTCTCTTCTTATGCAAGTACCATGTTTTTATGGGCTGTCATATAGCTTCAAATCTGGACTATCAGTTCCTCCAGCATTGTTATTTTTGCCGTGGATTGTTTTGACTGAGGCCTTTTGTGGTTTCATATGAATTGTAGGATAATGAAATGAGGATTTTTATTGAATTGGATCTGTAAATAGTTTTTAGTAAAATGGTCATTGTCTACTAATTCATGAGCAAGAACTGTCTTTCCATTTTCTAGTGTCTTTATCTTTTTCTTCAGAGGTTTAAAGTGTTCACTGTAGAGGTTCTTCATTTCCCTAGTGAGGTTTATCCCTAGATATTTTAATTTCTTTGATGCTATTGTGAATAGGAACGTGTCCATGATTTCTCTGCATGTGTGTTGTTAGGGTGTGTGTGTGTGCATGCGTGCATGCAAGTTGATTCTGTATTCTCTCACATTGCTGAATTTATTGTTTCTAGTTTTCTGGTAGAATTTTGGTGGTCTGCTAATGTATAATATTAGTTCATCTGCAAACAGGGATAGCTTGACATCTTTCCCCATTTGTATTTTTTGGGTTCCTTCTGTTTTTTCCCTTTTTGTTCCAGCCAATACTTTGAGCTCAATATTGAAAGGAAATAAGATACTGGACTGCCCTGTCTCATTTCTGACTTCAGTGAGATTGCTTTAAGCTTTTCTTCATTTAAGAGAAGTTGACTGTGGATTTATCATATAACTTCTATTGTGCTGAGATATTTCCTCTAATCATACATTCTCTAGGACTTTTATAATAAAGGTATGTTGGAGCCGGGCGGTGGTGGCGCATACCTTTAATCCCAGCACTCAGGAGGCAGAGGCAGGCAGATCTCTGTGAGCTCGAGGCCAGCCTGGTCTACAAGAGCTAGTTCCAGGACAGGAACCAAAAAGCTACGGAGAAACCCTGTCTTGAAAATCAAAATAAATAAATAAAGGTATGTTGGATTTTGTCAACCTTTTCTGCATTATTTTGCATTGAGAATCATGTGATTTTTTTTTCTTTTAAGTCCAGTTATGTGTTTTGTTGCATTTATTCACTTCTGTTGAACTATATTTCAGGGAAAAAGCAAAGTTGGCCATGGTGTATGATCTTTTCATATATGTATTTTATTGAACTTTTTAGAGTCTTTTCAGCAGATCTATTGGCCTATAGTTTTTTGTTTCTGGTTTTGGAAGTGATAGAAGGGTTTGGATTGGGAGTACTCTGCTTTCTTTTCTTTTTTTCCCTCTCTTTTTCTTAATAGTTTAAGGGTTGGCTATAGGTCTTCTTTGAAATTCTGGTAGAATTCTGCTGTGCATAGGTCTGGAAGGATACTTATTACTATTTCAATTTCCTCTTTTATTATAGTTTTTTTTTAAGATTTATTTATCATGTGTACAGCATTCCTTCCATGTGTGCCCGAAGGGGGCGCTAGGTCTCCTTACAGATGGCTGTGAGCCAACATGTGGTTGGGAATTGAACTCAGGACCTCTGGAAGAGCAGTCAGTACTCTTAACCACTGAGCCATCTCTCCAGCCCTGATATAGATTTAGGTTATTTACTTCTTTAATTTGGGTATTTGGCTAAATCTAGACATTCATCCATTTCTTAAGTTTTTTTCAGGCTAATGAAATATAGGTTTTTAAAGTATTCCTCTATAACACGCTGACTTTCTTTAGTGTCTGTGATAATGTTTCCCTGCTCATTTATGATTCTGTTTATTTGGATTCTCTTATTTCTTTTGATTTGTTGAACTTTATCTTCTGAAAGAACCGGCTCTTAATTTTTTTTTCTTTGTTTCTATGTCTTTGATTTCTGCTCTTATTTTTATCCTTGCCGTGAGTTTGGATTAGGTTTGTTCTTATTTTCCAGCTTTTGTAGTTGCATCACAAAGCTACTTTGTGTTCTTTCTGAATTTTATTTTTTGGAGGTGTGGCAGTGAGACAAGGTCTCTTACAGCCCTGGCTAACTAACCTGGAACTCTATGTACCTCTGCCTCCAGAGTGCCTGGATTAAAGGCAGTCTACCATGCCTTTAATTTTAATGTAGACATTTATAGGAGCTATACATTGCCCCCGTAGGAATGTTTTCAGGGTGTTATATTTTCATTTTCACTTAGTTCCAGGAAATTATTTCTTTCTTGATTTCCTCTTCGGCCCATTCATCATTTCTTTCTTGATTTCCTCTTCGGCCCATTCATCATTCAGTAATGAGTTTTTAATCTCCATTAGTGTGTGTTCTTACTAGAGATTTTTTTGCTGTCAGTAAGTGTCGGATAGGATTCAAGGATTGATTTCAACCTTCTTGAATTTATAAAGGGTTTTTTTGTCCCAGGATGTGGTCCATGTTAGTAAAGCTTCCATGTACTATTAAGTAGAGTGTATATTCTTTGGTGTTTGGGTAGAATAGTTTATAAAATTTGTTAGATCCATTTGGTATGTGCTGGCAATTAATTCTGATCTTTCACTGTTTTGTCCAGATGACCTGTTGTGGTGGTGGTTTGATGAGAATGGCCTCCCAGAGACTCATACATTTCAATGTTTGGTCCCTACTTGGGGGAACTATTTGGGGAAAGATTAGGAGGTATGTCCTTGTTGGAGGAAGCCTGTCACTGGAGGTGGGACTTTGAGGTTTCAAAAGCCCATGTCAGACTCCCTTTCTGCCTCCAACCTGTGGATAAGATGTAAATTCTCAGCTACTATTCCAGCCAGTGCCATACCTACCTGCCTGCCACCAGGTTCCCCACAATGATGATCTTGAACTAACTCTGAAACTAAACCCCTAGTTAAATGCCTTCTTTTATAAACTGTCTTGGCCATGGTGTTTCTTCACAGCAATAGAATAGTAACTAAAATGCCTGTCTATTAGATTATTTCAATATAGCAATTTTTCTATTAATGGGTTCATATTAATCTGTGTCTTTAAATCCCACTAGTAGAAATGAAATTTTATGAAATTAGGCACCCCAGAATTTGGTGCATTTATATATTTAGGATGGTAATGTCATCTTAGCTGTTTCTTGATAAGAATGAAGCGTTCCTCTTTCTCTCCTCTGCTTAGTGTGTTGTGGCAGTATTAGGATAATGGCACACGCTTGCTTTCAGGTCTAATCTGATGGGAGCACTTTTGTCCATCCTCTAACTCAGTACCTATCTTTAAAACTTGAGTTGTTTCTTGATCCATTCAGTTAGCTTGTCTTTTGATTGAGGCATTCATAAAGTTACTATTAAATCATGTGTGGTATTGCAGTCATTGTGTTATTTTGTGTTGTTTTGTTCTCATTGGTAATCTGTGTTTTAATAATAGTCACTTTGCATTTCTTAGACTTGCTCCTGTGTTTGCATTTTCAAGCCATATTTTACACAGAGGTCAGTGTCCCAGATTTAAGGGAATGTTAGTTTTACATGGTGTTGAAATAGGAGCGGCAGGGCTGCGTCCCTGGCACCCGGCCGCCCGCATGGCTAGCTTATGCCCAGAAATAATTACACGGAAACTGTATTCTTTCAAACACTGCCTGGCCCGGCTAGTTCCAGCTTCTTATTGGCAAGCTCTTACATATTGTTCTAACCCATTTCTAATATTCTGTGTAGCCCACGAGCTGGCTTACCAGGGAGGATCTTAACCTGCGTCTGTCTGGAGTGGGAGAACCATGGCGACTCCTCTCAGCTTCTTTTTCCCAGCATCCTGTTCTGTCTACTCCGCCTACCTAATTTTCTGTCCTATGAGGGCCGAGGCAGTTTCTTTATTAGTAAGAAATCACTCCCACATCAACATGGAGCCAAGGTTGCTGTTGTGAGTAATCATGAATTGCCTTTGCCTTCTAAGACAGTGGTTCTCAGATATTTACACTGTGATTCATGATAGTAGCAATGAAATAATTTTATGGTTGGGGGTCACCACACAACATGAGGAACTGTATTTAAAGGGTCACAGCGTTAGGAAGGTTGAGAACCACTGTTCTAAGACTTTGAGAAGGAAAGCTATGGGCCCACAGGTTTTGCTGGGTCTTAAGTTTCAGGACCAGAATGTAACGAGTTCCTGAGACCTTGGTTTCCCCCAGAATCTGGGATCCAGGTTCTTATTTATTCATAATATTTGCTGTGTGGACTTCAAAGCTAATGATGTAAGAAAGTGGCGAGCCTTCAGGAGTTGGTCCCTGACTGGGCTGTTCCTGTCTGACAACTTCTCAGCTGAACACCTTCTTGCAGTCAGTAGTGACAGTGTGTGGCTGATCTCACCTGGGATCTCAGTGCCACCAAGGTGCAGGGGTCCAGGGTAGCTGCTCATCCAGGCATGCATGCTTTCACAAGTCACCAAAGCAGCCTGGCCAACGTCCTTTTCTGGTGGTAACTTGGCTTCCACTAGGTGGGGCGGGGCCTGTGTTCTGAAACAGACCGGTGTCATAGAGACCTGAGTGAGCCACTCGTGATCCCAAGTCAATGGAAGAAAGGCGTTCTTTTCTATTCCAGCCCCACCTGACATGTTCAGGGGCTGCCTGCCTATCATATGCGGGCTGTGCTTGAGATCTTTGTAAGACCTGGATCAGTCTCCCTGATGGTACAGAGTGGCTGACATGCCTGCTCTTCCTTCCTTAGCATTGCTATGGGTGCTGTTTGCCAGATGTAATCTTCTAATACCAGCTAGTCAGAATGCTGAGGCAGGAGGATCACTTGAGCTCCAAGTGCTTAAAAACACATGGAAGAATTCCCTGCCAGACACACATCATGGTGCTTAGTGAGTATTCCTCTAAGTCACACCCTAGCTCAGATTTTGTGTCACCAGATAGCCTTGGGCTGACATTGAGCTTGCTATGCCATGCCAGCCTGGAACTCAGAGATCTACCTGAGGTAAAGGTGTGTGCCACACCATACCTTGCCCCCAGCCCAGATTTTTGAAGTCGGTAATATTTGCTCCTCTTTCTAGGTTCAGGATTGCAAACTCCAGGATAGGCTGGCCTAATGCCTCTTTCGGTTCTTTTAAATAACTAGAGAAAGCATTTCATGACACAGGCACCTTACCCAGGAAGCTGGCTTCTCTTCCCTACAGGCAGTGAATGTAGTGGTGCTGCTGTAAGTCCATGAGGGAGCTCCTCATCCACTGACACAGTGCCTGCTTGCTCTCTCCTTCTTAGTGCCTACAGCTAGATGGCTCACGTCTTCGTGTACGGCACCCTGAAACGAGGCCAACCCAACCACAAAGTGATGCTGGACCAGTCACATGGCTCAGCAGCCTTCCAAGGCCGGGGCTGCACACTTGATTCCTTCCCATTGGTGATCGCCGGCGAGCACAACATACCATGGCTGTTACACCTGCCGGGCAAGGGCCACTGTGTGGCAGGTGAGATCTACAAGGTGGATGAACAGATGCTGAGCTTCCTGGATGACTTCGAAGGCTGCCCCAGCATGTACCAGCGCAGGGCCCTGCAGGTGCAGGTGCTTGAGTGGGAGGGTGCCGATGACCCTGGGGACAGGCTCCAGTGCTTTGTGTACAGTACAGCCACCTATCCACCTGAGTGGCTGCATCTCCCCTACCATAAAAACTATGATTCTGAGGGCCCGCACGGGCTGCGCTACAATCCCCGGGAAAGCAGGTGAGGGGCCCAGTGGCTGCCTGGCTCAACATCTGTCTATAAAACACGTTGACAAAAGGTCTTTGACACAAATTTTGCAAATGCTCTAATCCGATGTTACTATTGCTTGCTATTCAAGGGAGATTTTGGGCTTGCAGCTAGCTACTAGATGAGAGACACTCTGGGATGAAGTCCCCTAAATGTCAGTTACAGGGCACCTGGTACTCCTTTTTGGCTTTGCTTTGCTTCAAAGATGGCATCTCCTGTGACTAGAGACCCGGCTGCAGTTGAATCTCAGAAACTGAATGTATTGATTCCCACATACGCAATCTAGAAGGAAGTGGTGGGAAAATACCCTCAAGAGAAGCACCTGGACTGTGTACTCCATCACACACAAACTATTAAAACAGCCGTTAAGATAGAAGTATGTTGTTTGGTCCTTTTTATGTACTTACTTGATAGAAGGTGAAGTCAGGAGTAGTGACTTGCTGGGAGACAGCTGAGCCCTCAGACTTTATATTGTTGATGGGTGCCTAGCTCTCGGCAGCCTTGCCCATCTCTACCACCTGAAGGTGCAGGCTTTGGGGGTAGGCCTTTCAGAAGAACCAACACATTAGTAATTTGTTCCTCAGGCCCTGACAGAAGGCTTTGCTCCCAAATACAAACAACACTTAATGTTGGGAAGCCACGAAGTACCAATTACCTCCACCTCCATCTGATAATCTGTCAGCACACGATTCTGCTGCTGCCTCCTAGTGAAGTAGAAAATGGATTCCAAGAATTGCAGAAGGAAATGCAGCTGCTGGCTGAGCACCCTGGCACTCTGCGAAGAGCTCACTCGCCCTCTTCAACAACTGCACAGAAACACAACTGTTATTTTTAGCCCCTTTTCCTTAATTGGAAACTTGCTTCACAAAACAGAAAGGCCAAGATGGGTAGCAGCCTGGACCACAACATTGAAGGGGAGGCATCCTAACCATGGAGAGAGGGAAAGGGACCTGGACAGCATGCTTGTCATTGGATCAGCGCGGGCAGCACCCTCTGTCAGTCCACAGACCCCAAGATGGTGATCCAGCTCTTCAGTCATCCATGGACCCACACAGAAGGGGGCGTCCAGACCCTTCATCTGTGCTACCTGGTCTGAGGAAGTCATGAGTAATGAGCCCCAGGAATCCGTCCTGAATGATGGAAGAAGGGAGGTAATCAGATTACAAAATTGGAAGCAGAACTGGGATTTATATAAATTTTTAAAGGATCATAAGGAAATGCTGGTATTTACAACCAATTGGCACAGCCTGTCGCCTCTGTGCATATTGTCTTCATTCAGAAAAAAGGGCAAACTAATATTTAGACAAGTGCTTGGTTTTATTGATTTAATTTTGACACTAGGAAATCTCAGCAGAAGTACAAATCATATGTACAAGTATTTATATCAATAAAAATTTCCATTGGTGATTTTTGGCAGAATGTCAGTTTTGCCTCTTCTGAGGAATAAATATGTGTAGAACCTGCTGCACAGGAGAGCTCCTGCAAACGCTTGAACAAATTGAGGGTTAGAGAATAATAGAAATGCTAATTAAAGCCGTGATGACTGAAAGGCTAGAAATACTTCATTCCAGCTCCACGAGCAGATCTCCTTCGCCAACTGTGTCTCCAGCTTTGCAATGCACCGACTTCACCTGGAATTAAAATGGTTGGGGAAGAATGAGGACGCGAAGACCACCTGCTTACATGTGTCCGTGTAAGGGGACCAGAGTGTGGGAGTGTCCTACAGAAGCCTATGCTCCATGCCTCCTCCTGTCACTCAGCCCAGGTGATCCTGAGAGGACCAGGCCACAGCGTCCTCAGTCCTGAGATGTCCATGCTGGTGACTGACGCTTCCCATCCCAGCTTCATCCTAGGGTTTTGAGACTAGGGTGTGTATTTGGTGTCATGGTAAAAACAACTATGCCACAATCCAAACAGGTACGAATTAAAAGGAGAGATCTCTTAGCCTGACCCTTTCCCTCCTTTTGAAAGAAAGAAATCAGTAGCCCACTTCAGTTGAGTGGCATTCTTCTGATTTCTGCTGAACATAAAATCCTGCCTTGCTTCTCTAGATTTGTGTAGGCAGAAGACTGGAGTGCATAAGAGGTCCTCGTTTTCTTCCTTGGAAATGGTTGCTTAAGCCATAAACTAAAAGTGGGTTTGACCTAACTGGCCATATTGGAGATTAAGCAAATAAAAATGCCAGGAATTGTCCAGGCTGCAGCACAGGCCTGTGCCCTGTCCCTCCACCGTGAGCAGAAAAGACAGGCTCTTCTCTGAAACTTGAGCAGCCCAGAGTGTAAATACTCAAAGGCCTCACTGGGCAGATCTCTCTGGAGTGAAACGGATGGTGACATGTTTAATGATGGCACGTTGATTAGGCTGTAGTAGTAGATTCACATTGTGGCTCTATTTGCACCCTAAATCTTTTCTCAGAGGAAAAAAATGATATTTGGGGGAGCTTATGATTTAACTGCCACCACTCAGTTTAGAAAGGATTGTTCGACCTGCAGATCCTTTGTACACGTCTAAGCCTATAGACACTGTGTGGCTCTCTTAACCTGCAGGGGACCTTGTTATCCCCCTGAGGAGCAGGTAGAATAATTGGAGGCCTTCTTCTGAGAATCCATCTCATTGCCTTCTGGGATAACAGACCACCAGACAGACAGGAGCTGAGTGACGCAGACCTGGTGGTAACTGGCATCTCTCTCTGAACCCAATGTTCCAAAGTGTTGCAGGCCTCTGACTTGATGTAGATTCTTCCAAACCCAAGCGCCCTTTGGGAAAGCGGCTCTTCTGAATGACCACATCTCTTCAGTCACAGGAAGGACAGCAAAACCACTGCTTTCTCCAGGACTTTTCTGTTTCCTTCAAGCTTCGCTCTTAACTCTCTCTCTTTTTCTCCCTGAATCATCAAGCCTGTCATGTGTACATGGGGCTTCAGCTCCTCCATCTACAACTGAATTGTTCCCTTCAAGGGGAAATTATCTTGAGTTACATTAATTTTTGCAATCTGTAAAACCATTTCCTGCTGTGTCACCTAAGTCTCAGATAACTGACTGCCTCCGAGACAGATGTAAGCATTAAAAATTAAAAACCCCTTCATCTGAAAGACATTAATGTGGAGAACAATTGTGCTTTGACTGCCTGAACGTAACACATAGACCCCCTTCCTGCCTCTCCAGGAGGCAGAGACACACCGACAGAGCAGAGCTCCCGAGTCCTGCCCAGGTGTCCTCCCCAGAAAAGGGCCAGCTAGCAGAGATGGCCGCGCCCGTGTGTCACAGCTAGAGCAGGCCAGGAGGGGCTTGGGAACATACCTTGCCCATCTTCCCAGCTGCCATACTGTTCTGCATTTTCATGGCTTCAATCACACAGATTTCCTGACCTTCTGCTACCTGGAAAATTGGTTAAAAGTAGGTATTATAAGAACATTGTAATTTTGTAGTAACATTCAAAAGTGAAGCCATTCAATTCTTTATCAAATGTGCTGGTTGGTTCATGGAGACACCAGCGACTTCTGATGGCTCCCACTGTAGTACGTGAGGAGACAGTAGAGAAAGGCCACGCAGTGTGTTGTCAAGTTCTCCTTAGAAAAGTCTGTACAGGAAGACATGAGTGCAGCTTATGGGGTCTTCCCCAGGGCCCTAGGAGTCTGCCACAGATTCTGCAAAACCAGTGTTTCTCCCCCTTCCAGCCATGTCTGCAGCAGGCAGATACCTAAGGACCAAGGGACTCATTAGTGCCTGTCTGGGTTTGCAGGACCAGGAGTATGACTATAGAAGGGTAAAGCTTTCTTTACAGGGTGACAGAAAAAGTTCTGCAGCTGACTGGTGATTACAGCTATGCATGAGCATCACCAGCCACTTGTCTGCCTTACAGCAATGACCCGTACCACATGGAAATCAGAATTCAGCAGTCTCTTACCAAAAGGTGCATGCTTGCCTCTCTGCAGGGAGCTGAAGATAACAACCTAGCATAAGGGCCAACAAACTGCTGTCCATCTACAAGATGTGCAAGTACTAACATTGAGGTGGCTTCTCCAGCTACACCCAGTCCTTGCGAGAAGGCCTGAGTGCGCCGCAGGTGCTTGTTCAAGCCCGTGTTGTGATGCTTGGCTTTCCAGTGCCTATGAGGGAGATCCAGACTGAGCAGGCACATACCCACAGGAGTCAGCTGTGACTAAAAGCCATGATACTGACTCCCTTTTCTCTGGCCTTAATGATTAAGCACCAAGGATCTGGGTCAGGAGTTCCTTCTCTGCCTGGTGGAGAAGGGTCTCGTGCTCTGTGAAGTAGGCTGAAGGCTCCACAGAGCGCCTCTGGGTATGCTGGCTGGGGCTCCTGGACAGCCACAGTACTGTGTCTATGCTGGCCAATGCCGCAGAAGGACCTGGAGAATGTTCTTTCCTGCCATCCCCAAATGATCTCCAAGTCCCCTCCTGGCTCCCTGTGTGGCACAAGCTGTCTTGCTGGCAGTGTGAGCACTGAAGCCCTGTGCGTTCTTTCCTCTGCTGTTCAGGTGGTGGGCTGTGTTTTTCTGGCACGGGAATATAGGAAGAAAGGAGATGCCAAGACTTTGGTGCTGGCACGGAGGAGAGGCACTGCTGACAAGCAGGCTTAGCACAGCGCTCACTGCCGCTTTTGATTCATTTCACCTGGCATCTGCAGTGCAGGCACAGAGAAGCAGCACCTCCACAGGGCTGTTCTTCAAAATGTGGGGGACAGGAGAAGGCAGCGCCAAGATGACGCAGATACCCCGGCCGGAGGTGTCAGAACAGCGATTCCTTCATACCATCTTGTTGGAGCCATTTCTCTCCTCAAAGGCGGGTAGGAGGTCAAGAAAGTCAGGAGAAGGGCAGGTGTCACCGAGCCACACAGCAACAGAGCTGAGAGCTTATCCAGCAGCCAGGCTGAAATAAATGTCCCTGACCCTGACCTGCAGGGGACAGCACAGATGGCTCCTTAGGACACCTTGAAATTCTGTCCAAAAATTGGGAACTGAATCTCTACCTCTAGGCTCTGGTCACTGTTTCCTGTCAGATGGACAAGTCTTTACCATGGGTATTTACGTGGTAACCTGCCCTGGCTTCCTCTGTGAGCAGCGGAGCCCAGGGTTGGCTTAGTCTCCTCACCCCATCCCATCAGCTTCCTCATGGATGGGCTTCCTCACTCTGCTCCGCCAGCATCTGTGTTACCTGTCATTGCTCATTTCCTCTTGTCACACTGCTCCAGGTCGGCTGGCCAGACACAAGCAGTGCCCTGAGCCTTCCTCAGCGCGCGCGCACACACATACATACACACACACACACACACACACACTGTCCTTACAGTCTTCTTACAGAAGCCTGGAGGTCTCCAGTGGTCATGGTCAGGGGCCAGGAATACCCACAGAGAACATTAAGGGACAGCTTCACCAGACCACAGCTCCCTCCCCACCAGATCAGGCTAGAGCCTGGGGGCCAGTTCAGGATGCCTTGCCACCACCACAAGACCAGGTCCCAAACTGTTAATGTGATCAGCATGAGAAGTCTCAAAGCTGATGTGGCTGCCCAGCCCAGGCTGCAGAGCTGGTAATGTGATGAGAAGAAGGGAGCCTGCCTGTTGCCTTACACAGTCCAGCAGCAGCTCAGACCTGGGTCCTCACCCCATGTACTTCCTCTCAATGCTTCTCCCAGCATCATTTAGCGATGAGCAGAAACCCACGTCTTCAGCCTCTAGCTTGCTTTTTGTCCTTTCAGCCATGTTTAGAGACAGCTGTAGGAAAATGTCCCTTGGTGCCTTACAAAACCATGATGGGTTTGGTCCAACTGGATCATGCTATACACATGCATGCAAAAGCTATGCAAACTTGGTCTAATTTCAACTTATTTCATCCCTTGGAAATCAATGAGTACAAGCACCGGGCTGTGACTATCACTGCTCCCGGCCCGGCTCCAGTTCCCACCGAGAGGAAGCCTTCCTGCCTGTGCTGACCACACCACACGCAGCACTTCTGGACCACTGGCAGGCCGAGCTGGGCAGTCCTCATCACAGGACTGCAGCCGGGCTAGCCCTGCAGCATGGCTGCACACACACTTCTCTAACACTCTGGGAATCATCCGTAAAGACTTAGTGATTGTGACAGGTGTATCCAGAGTGGGGCTTACTAAATGGTCACAAGCCTCGCAAGT